AAAGAGATGCTCTACACGATGGTAATGATGAAAAAAAATTACTCGTAGGGTTTTTCTTAGATTATTTCGATTTACTTCGAACTTTTTCGAACACTGTTCGAAGAAAAGTTTGCCAATATTCAATTTCAAATTTCATATCATCCTAAAGGGCAAAACCTTCCCTTTAGAATGGTCATTTGAAGAAAATCGGCCTAATAGTTATAGAGTAATGATTTTTTAAAGTTAAAGTATTTTAAATTCATTTAAATTAGAAAAAAATTAATTAGTTCAAAGTGTGTGGACTTTTTGAATTTTTTTTAAGTGCATTTGATTTGTCTCACTGAGACGAACAAAATGATATAAAATTTGTCAAGTTGTCACAACATGACTTTATTTTTGTCGCCTTGTGTTATCAAAATGTTTCTCAGTCTCGTACACAAACTCCTCGCCAAATCCGCGATAAGAGCGGAAGAGGATTTTCAAGCGAAAATCAACACTCTCGGAGCCAACAATCTTGTCGTAAATCACCTGTAATTTTGCCAAATATTTACGCTTCCAGTGCTCGAGCTGTACCTAATTTTCGACGAGATTCGAGCATCTGATTCACCTTTTCAATTATCACAAGTGGGTGTTTTTCCTAATCTTTGCACCTTGAGATAATCAGGGTTTATCATCATCAAGGTGAATTCTAGCGACTTTTGGTCGTCGAACGGTTTTTTACACTCGACTTAAGTCAAGGGATTTTTTACGAAAACAAATACTTTTATGGTGTCTAATAACTTTGTTTTTTGGAATCTGATAAGTGATAAGGTAGCCTCGAGGGTGATTTATTTGACGCTCAGACAACACTGCTTCATCAAGGAGAAATTGATAATAATTTGTTAACTAATTTAAGATTTAGGACAACGGTTTTGGAAGTTTAATGAACTTAAATATACTAAGCAAAAAGGTCCGGAAAAGCATCAAATATTTGGTTTAAAACCATCTTTCGAGCGTTTTTACGGGTTTTCAGTAATTCTTATATAAGAAAATGGTTTTTTTTTCGCACATTTCTAAGTCTCTAGGACCTCTAGGTGTAGAATTTGTTAAAATTTTAGTTTTTGGTACCCGAAGTAGGTGTACAGGGTGATTATGAAGTATGGAACCAAGTGGGTTTTTTAATCATTTGCCTCCAGAAAATAATAATTAATATAAATTAAAGTATTATAAAAAATGTGGCATAAAAATTATATGGCATTTTTCTCAGGGGCGCGAGTTCTAGCGCATCCTGTATAGAGGAGATAATTACAAAATGTACATTACGCAAAATATACACATTTTGTGTGATCTGCTACATTTATTTTATATTTTTGTATTATTTAAAAAAAGTTTACCAAAAAATGATTTCAAAATCAGAAAATCAGTTAAGATCACAAAATGTACATTTAGAAAGTGTGAGACATGCTCTATGTATTTTTCAAATCTAAATATTACACAAAAAAATTTCAATAAATTTCTTGAACAAAGTTTCTGACACTGTGCCAATAATGTTAGAAATCGAAAAAAATCAGATTTCTACGTTATTTTAACAAATAAATCTCATTAAATAATTAAGATTTTCATTCAACAAAGCCAATTCCTGATCAGAAAAGAAATAATTAAAACTAAATTTAAACTGATTTGACAAAAATTAATGTCAATTTTTGGAGACTTTTTAAAATAATGAAATTTGTATTAATTTATCAAATAGCTAAAAAAATTTTCTTTAACAATAAGCTAGAAGTTAATCAGAAATTAACCAAAATTTTCTTAAAAATGAATCAAAATGAGGAAACAAGAAAAAATAACACAGGTGTTGAAATTTTCAATTTTTGCAAAAATTTGGAACTTAAATCATTTGCCTCCAGAAAATAATACTCAATATAAATTAAAGTAAAAAAATTAAATATGGATGTAGATTTTTAAGTCTCCAGGACCCCTAAGAGAAAATAATAATTAATATAAATTAAAGTAATATGAAAAATGTGATCGTATTTTGAGAACTAAATTTTGTTTCGTTTTTCAGATTTTTTTGTCAAAATTGCAATTTATGTAATTTTTTATTTATTTTAAATTAAATATAAAGTAGATAGTTGTAATCCTTACATCATAACCTTTATGAGGAAAATGGTTTTATAGTGAGTTGCCATTTAAAAAAATATTTTTTTATACAACTCAAAAACAAGAAAATTTCGAAATTTTTTATTTTTAATAAAACATCACATTTTTAGAGTACATACTTAACTACTGGATTTTAATTTTTATCATTAAACTTTACCATCCTGTGTAGCCGTAACGAAGCTTAAGGTTTATTGTTATTTTGGCAAATAGTTTTAGTTTTCGATGAAGAATATGTTGCAATTTTTTGCAATATTATGAAAACACTGTTTTTTTTTTTCAAAGCTTCAATTGTCTTTAGTGAAAACTAAAGGCCATCACCAATTATTATTATTTTGTATTAGTAGTGATTTTATTAAAGTTTGTTTTATATGAGTCACCCTGTAGGTATATGTTGTTTTCTTGTTAAAGTAAAAACTTTAATTATTCAAGTATAGTTCAGGTTAGTTTTTGCTGCTTTATTTACTAAATTTACTAAAAAAAATTAATTTATGCAATTTCCACTATACAGGGTGTAACAAAAGGATGGGGACTAACCTGAGATTTCCCAGGTTAAAATCAAGCGATTTTACTTCCAGAAAATTACATTTCGAACATCATCAGGGATTTATCTTCAAAAAATAAAAAAAATTACACTTGTCCAAAAAACGTTTTCGATTTTGAAATGAGATTTCAACACTGAAATGGGTGTTTTAATGGTTTAATTATACAGGGTGCAACAAAAAAATGGGGGCAAATAGTAACCTGAGATTCCCGATAAGTTAGAGGGAGACAAAGTTTTAAAATTATTTTCGTCTTTCTTTAATAACTTTTTAATGGTCTTATCGATTTTTATGCAATTTGATACAGGCAATTTAATACCAAAACCACATGTTTTGGTGCCATTTTTGTTTGTTTTACTATTATTGCAAAGTACTTATCTATTATCAACTTACACTTTTTAGGCAACATTTTTGTTATACGTAATCTGAATATTTTTTTATCTGAACGGCACACTATTTTTAAACGAATTTTATACGTTGTAAAATTTTTGTATGTTTTGGTTTTAGAGTAAAAAAAAATATTTTTTTTTAAATGTAGGTATTCAAAAATTTAAGGTTTGGTTTCTTTATGTAAAAATAAATGAGACTTTTTTTCAAACTGTATATTTTTCGTCAAAAAGTTAAAAAACATCCTACTAGTAGGTAATTAAAAATATACAACAATTAAAGCCAGTTTTTTGATTTTTCAAAAAGAATTTGCTTTCATGCTCTCCATGTCGTAACTTTTCTCTTTATTGACTTAGCACGTTCTAAACCCATCTCTGATAAGAAGTGTAAGAATGCAATGACTCTCCTCGGTCCGAAATCTTGTCTTGTACAAGCAAACGAAGCCAGATTAAAATAAAGTATTCCTCCTCACTAAAAATAAGATAAAAACCGAACGACACGTGGATAACCCAGAATCTAGTGAAAGTGGCTCAACAGAGCCGCCTGTGTCTTGCACGGGGAACTTTGGTACTAGAGGACTGGTTATGCATCTTGGACCGCTTAATAAAATCCATAAACACAATCTATGACGAGAAAAGTCGCCATAAATTACGAAAAAAATGAAAACATTTTCGAATTTTCCATAAATTGCAATGAGAATCCCACGTATGCATTTTTCGCCGCCTCGTTGGCGTGTCAACCCACAAAATTTGTATTTTCATGAGTTTTCATAATTCTTCTTCTTTGTATTCAAATCCGTTTCGCTTTTGTTTGACCTGAATCGGGCGAGCGCCATCTAGGGGTCCTCACTTCGAAAAAGCGACTTTTAAGACTCGATTTGGGTTAAACACACCGAATGTTTACCATTTTGCGGCGGTAAATAAATTCGGTTATATAAGCTTTGCGTCACCTTCGTCTTCGGCATTTGCCTAGTTCCAAGGAGCACTTTCGAGAAATTTTCTTCAAGCACTCTCGATTTCCAGGGGAAAATTTACTAAACCGGAGATAATCCGGGGTTTAGAGAAGACTGTTACGACACCCGACGTAATTGTCGGTGAGCGATGTTAAACAGTAAATTCACATCAATTAATGCTTTTACATAACGCAGTAAGTAGAGCATGAGCTTGCACTGTACCGTACAATGCTCAACAATAACAACAGATGAGAGGAAAAGTTGAAATTGCAACGAAGACTTGATACCCAGTGTTATTAAGTTTCGTGATTATTCATGTTTTGTCTTTATTTCAGTGCACCTGGCTTTGATTTTAATCGAGAAACGCGTTGTTCATTACTCTAATTACACGCTTTGGGCCAAAGCTCGCTTGATCACCTCTTTAATCAAATTACTATTCAGTTTCTTTTGGGCGCTTACGTAATTTTAGAGCGGACTAAACTGTGACAAAATTGTTTTATCGCTCATTTTTAAAAGTGGTACAATTTGCAACTAATTAGCCGTACGATTAGAAAAAATTGGCGGCTGCATCTAGACGGCCATGACAAAGTTTACTTGCTGAAATAAAACACTTGTGATTTTTTATGAAATTAAAAAAAAAAGTTGGGTGCACCTGGAATCGAACCTTCGCTTTTTGAGTTTCATATGAGGTGGGAGTACAGATGATTTTTTCAAACTTAATCTAACATTGTTTTATGCTCTTTTTTTGAGTACAAGAAACGTCACTTGATACGATTTTGGTCGATTTCGAATTTTCTAATTTTTTTAAAAATTTAGAAGCGTTTGGGATCTACTGATAATGACACGTCAAGCGAAACATTTGCAAAAAAGGGGAAAATTAAATTACTTGGGGCACGCCACTAACTGATACGACAAAAAATTGGAACGAGAATTCAAAATGCGCAAGTTTGAATCCTGGCGTGGCCAATTTTTTTTTTGAAAATAATTGTTATTTACTGTTACAGAGATCAAAAATTAAATTTGGGTAATGTTGCTCGAATTTTGAAACACTTCACCCGTCGAAAATTCAACTTATTCAAGTTTGCTTTTTGAGTTTCATATGAGGTAAGAATACATATGATTTTTTCAAAAACTTAATCTACGTTTTATGCACTTTTTAGAGTCTCTAGTCGTACAAGAAACATCATTTTTCAATTTTGGTTGATTTCGATTTTGCAAAATTTTTCAAAAATTAAAAAAACCTTTGTAATCCACTGATAATGTTACGTCAAGCGAAACATTTGCAAAAAAGGGGAAAATTAAATTACTTGGGGCACGCCACTTACTGATACGACAAAAAATTGGAACGAGAGTTCAAAATGCGCAAGTTCGAATCCTAGCACGGCCAATTTTTTTTTTCGAAAATAATTATTCAATTCTTTCAAATGCAATCCCACAATGTTTTATGCACTTTTTCGAGTTTCTAGGGGCTTTAGAATCGTAATTTGTTACAATTTTGCAGTTTTCAGTTTTTTCAGTTTTGGTCGATTTTTCAAAATTTGAAGCACGGAAATCATAACCTTCGCTTTTTGAGTTTCAAAATGAGGTAGAAATACAAACAAAAGCGTAAAGAATATGAAAATGAGTTAATTTGAGTTTAAATGATTGATCAATATTTTTTTTTCAATTTCAGTTGCGATTTAAAATTTGTGTAAAAACACGAAAAAAAAAGAAAAGAAATACGCTAAATTATTCCCCAGATCTAGGATGTCACTTGAAATAAAACAATGATAATCATTAATAAGAATAATAAGTAACACATTTCTGTTTTAAAAAGGATTTTATGATAAAATATGAAAAAATAAGAATCGAAATTCCGGAATCGAACCTGCGTTGTTTTTTGTTGACTATTCGAACTTGCTGAAATCAAAGAAAGAACTCACTCTCTCGTGGATTTTATTTTAAAAAATTGAAAAAAAAATGTTTGTGTTGGGATTCGAACTTGCATTTTTCGAATTTGTCATTTTGATACGAACAATGTGAATGTCTTTATTTTCACAAAGTAAATTATATAATTAATGTAGAATTGATTATGATGAAGAAAATTAGTTAAATATGTAAAAAAATTAAAGAAKAATTGTAATTGTTATTGAATATATTTTTTGAAATATAAGAATCTCTAACAGTCGCTGATTTTTTTTTGCAAGAAAATTATAAAACAAAGGACGATCTCTCATTTTTATAATCAAGTGGATTTTATTTAAAAAAAATGAAAAAAAAAAACTGTTTGCATCGGAATTCGAAGTTGCATTTTTCGTGTTTGTCATTTTGATACGAACAATGTGAATGTCTAGATTTTGACAAAATAAATTTTGATGAAGAAAATCGGTCAATTATGTAAAAATAACACAAAACCTTTATTGTTAGTCATTTTCTTAAATAAAMTCTCTAATTTTTCTTTGCAAGAAAATTTTACCATCAGTTAGAAAAAAATTTTGTTTTTTGGGTTTGTTATTACCGGAAGTTAAGCTTTTGTAACTAAACTGAGCAATTCTGTTCTTTTTGTTTAAAAAAAAACTCTTTTAATTAGTGTAAAATTAACTCTGATGCAAAATAGTGGACTAAAAAATCTGATCAATTGGTATCTTGATTTCTTGTACTATTATTTGCTTTTCCTCAATGCCAGATTGTGGTGCGCCTTTCCGGACTTTCTGAAGTAAAAGTTTGATTTTTTACGCGAAAAATTGAATATGAATCTCACTCAAACGGTCGTAAAGTCTCAATGCCATTTATGACAGTCGCACAATTTTTCCAATTCATATTTCCGCTTCAAGGCCCGCGATCGCAATCTGCAAGAGATTAATATGGAATCAGCTGCAAATTTATAAATTTTAAACAGTTTGGTTTTTCTTCGTCCCACCAAGGGCGGATCCAGGGGAGGGGCCCAGGGGGCCGGGCCCCCCCCCAAACTTGCCACCAAAAGCTTCAATATTTTATATTTAAATTTTAATATATAAACCTTATGACCTAAAGTTTTTTTAAATAAAAACATTAGAATTCTTTTTAAATCACACTTATTAATACAAATCATACATATACCGAGAGATCAAAATAATTTGTAGTCATTTTTGGATCCGAAAACGTACAGTTCGGAATTCAAATTTCGGGCAGTACTGTCATTTTCATATTGTAAGCTCTAAAACAACCTTTATATTAATAACCTCATTTTTTACTCTTGTCGTATTTATGTCATTTTGACTTATTTACTTTCAAAAATAGTGATTTGTGGCATAATAACGGGTAGGCAGCAGATCTTAATAAATTTCCTAAGACGGACAAATTGTTTAATTAACAAATTTAACAACAAAAAAAAAATAAATTAATTGTCAAATGTCAGTCATGATGACAGTAAAAGGTAGTTTACAGTGAACTTTTTAAAGTGACAGAAAAATAGGTACTGCCCGAATTTTTAATTTTGAACTAACTGCACGTGAAACGTCAAATAAAATGACAAGTCGAAAACGGCAAAATGGGCTGGAATTAGTCGCCGACGTATAATAATAAGACCGTTCTTTTTTGAAGGTAAATCATAAATTTAGTTATCTTTTTGATCATGGGATTTTACCTTTTCACTTGTCATTTTATTTGACGTTTCACAGACATATGCACAGGACATACGTTTTCGGATACAAGGACAAATTATCTTGATCTCTCGATACTTCCTTAGTTTTTACTAATTTAAAAAGAAATCATCAATTGTAATTTTCTTTGGACCACATCTTAGGTATCTAATTAAATTAAGTTTATATCTCTTTAAATAATGAACTTTACCAACTCGCTAGAACACCTTATTCACAATTTTCAACTTGTTTTAAAATTCTACACCTTTTGGTTTTTGGGTAATGACGGTAGCGACATTTTTTTTAATGGAAACTCTTATTTTTTTAGCGAATTCGGTAGATAATTGTCGAAATGGCAACACCAAAATATTGTGTATTACATGAAGTTTTTTTTAAAAAAATTATCCAAAAAGTGAAATAATGTCAATAAAAAACAAAGATACAATTTTAAATCAAGTTAAAAATTTTGTATTTGTTAAAAAGAAAATT